CAGACAGACAGATAGACAGATAGATAGATAGATAGATAGATAGATAGATAGATAGATAGATAGATAGATAGATAGATAGATAGATAGATAGATAGATAGATAGATAGATAGTGGGATCGGTATGGTGTATTTGATAATGGCACCTGAATCTAAACGATGATCTAAATAACAAAGATCAACTTTTAAAATGTTTGATATAGTTTTAACGGGTCTTAAACATTTATAAGTCTTTAAACTTCATTAAAAATGTAACCAAACTGTAATTTTTATCACACAGAAAATGGGCCTGCCTGCTACAGTACATTGATTTAAATGCTACCGTCTACTTTGCAAACATTTGAAATGGTGTATAAATGAAATGTTTAAAGAATAATTAGAAACAGCGGCGGATGGGACGAGCGTCTCCTGCCACAGGTCACGTGACGCTCAGACTCGAGGGCGGACTGGTCGCAGCATAGTACGAGGTCTGAAGGCCTCGAGGGGAAATTCTACCAAAAACCAACAGAAAATCAGATCTATAGCCAGGTAAGCAGGCTTTTCCCCTTTAAACGCTTTATTTAGTTTACGTAAATATTTTTCAGAAGTGACGAACGAGCATTGGTCTATGACAGAGCTAGCCATGGCTATTAGCTAGCATGCTAATACTCGCACTAAAACAAATGGAGTCAGCTTAGCTAACAGCAGCTAGCTGCTAGCATCTGGGTAATTGTTAACATCTCTGGGGCAAACTGGCCAAGCCAAATAGTTTTCCGATCTATGCTGTGAAAGTTTCACGCCAGTAAAGGTAAACGACAATAAATCAGTCCAGTAACTGCTGGCATTAGCTTAAAACTGGTTTGTTGGGCTAGCAATGTGACATAAATTGATATTTTTCATACAAGCTGGTTGACAAAACCTGAAAATAAATTGCCCAATATCTGCTATGAGTCAAAACTTTACTTAAATATAACGTTATCATAAATATTTACAACTATTAACGGGTACCAGCTGTTAATCATGTTTTATTATTGAATTTTACCTGTCATTATTGTGTAGTTATACACATGTTAGGTAGTATTTAAAAAAATAGGCCACAAGAAGTACAGTTTAGTATTTCAGGCACATCTGAATTTGTCTTTATAAGTTGTAATCGGTCTGTTTTCAGCAGGTTCAGGGGCTGCAGAGAGATGTCTGACAGCGCAGGGCTGCAGTTCGTCAGCTCCTTTGCATTTGAAGCCATGCAAAAGGTGGATGTGGGGCGCCTGGCCGCCCTGAGTGACCCCGAGCTGAGGCTCCTGCTCCCCTGTCTGGTCAGGATGGCTCTGTGTGCTCCTGCAGATCAGAGCCAGACCTGGGCGCAGGACAAGAAGCTCATCCTCCGCCTCCTCTCCGGAGTGGAAGCTGTCAACTCTGTTGTAGCGCTTTTGTCTGTCGACTTTCACGCATTGGAGCAGGACGCACGGAAGGAACAGCAGCTCAGGTACAGCTGAACCATATTATCAATAACACTTGTGACTTTACACGTACGAGGGGTGTAACGGTTTGCTTAAGCCATGGTTTGGTGTATACATCAGTATGAGGGTCTTGAAACCATCTTATTACCAGCAAACTGGTTGGTTCACTAAAGGAGTGTTGTGCTTGGTGGGGAACACAGTTTGTTTGCGACTCCTCAGACTGATGAAGCCCTTCAGATGAAGGGTGAAACGTCTCAACAACAAGAAACTGTCCAGATGGCTTGACTGAACATTGTTGGATTTTTTTTACCTGGATTATTGAGCATGAACTTTGATATGATCATCATGGTTTGGTAAATAGGTAAGGAAAAACATGCCCCCCCCCCCACTATTTTTTTTAAATATTTTTTTATTTATTTTTACAATTACTCTTCCTTAAGCAAAGACAGAAAGTCAAAGCAATAAATGTAAGTTGGACGGTCCAAAGGCAGAGCCAAGGAAGTCAGGTCACCATAACATGAAAAAGTCAAATTATTCTTACTTTTTTCATCCATTCTGAACTTTTGATAAACTCCAGAATGGAACTGGATTAGGAAAATATTACAAAAAGATTAAATAGCAGCTTTTTCTTCTTTCTGTTCTTCTGCCATGGCTCTGGGTGCAGTGATCACCTGTGACGGATGTGGCATTGTCTCGTTCCCTGTACCCGTCCCAAACGTCTGCTCTGTTCCGTACTTCCACTGTATAAATAAATACATGTACAACTGTTATACCCCCTAATGCATATAATTATTTCCAGTGTTGATTTGAGCTTTTATCACAATAATTTGCCTCTTCTTTCAGACACAAGGCTGGTGGTTCGAATGGAGAGAGCATCTTGGTGTCGCAGCTCCAGCATGGCCTGACCCTGGAGTTTGAACACAGTGATCCCCTCAGGAGACTTCGTCTGACCCTCAGTGAACTGCTGGCTATCATGAATAAGGTTCTTACATTAACCAATGACAACAGGCCACTTTGGTCATTATTTAACATTTTTTATATTTATGGTAACACCAGCTATACTGTCCACGTAAACAGCACACTGATTTGTTGCTTATACTACAGACATGACTGGTTTTTAATAATTTATACTAATCTCAACCTGAACGGCTGCCTCTTGTAAAAGAAAAGTTCCTTGAATTTTTAAATATTCTTTCGTAAACGCAACTGAAACTAAGGATAATATGTTAATCATAACTTGCTTTGGTGTGGAAAAATCACCCTTAAATGCATTAATGCACATTTTATTTGTCAACGTTGGGTTTTTTGGAGCTACCGTATTTTCTGCCGTACATGTCGCATCAGTCCCAATATGTCTAATAAAGTGGAAAAATCCATAAATACGTCACTTCCCCATGTATGTGTCACCGCTAGGGGTTGAACGACTACATCATTTTTAAACTCGACATTAACATAATAAAACTCGAGTAGAACTCGAGTACTTGATGACATCATAGGATCTAAAGATACAACAATAAATAAATAAATAAAACTGCAAAAAAGGTCATTATTTACAAAAAAAGACCATCAAAACATTGGGAGAGTATATTATGCTCCTACCATTTATCATCCTGCAAATAAGTCACAGGAAAAACTAAACTATTAGTTATTATTATAATTATTATTAAGCTGCAAATGTAAAAGAAACATGCGGCACGTCAAAAACGAAACTAAAAACAGTGGGGGGGTCGACCACCCCGCACCACCACCAGCTGTGGTGTGCATTAGGTTTAGTTTTAGAGATTAATATGTTAATAGTTTTTTTTTATAGGTTTAGAGATTAATATTTTTATGCTTTTTGTTTGTGAAACAAGGTCAGAGGAAGCTGGTTCTGGTTCGGTCATTGGACCCGGTGTTGCACCATATTCTGTGACCTGCAACAGTGCATGCAACACCGCACCCTACGGTCACAATATACGTTGGTCACAAAATATGGTGTAACACCGGTTCGCAATGGGCGTGCACAGGAGGACTTTAACAAGAATTTAACAAGATAACCACCTAAAAACAATTATTTCTTTGCTTGATATTATAATAAAGGTGTGTCTCAGTGAAATGAAACTTATTTGACGGTTGCTCCAGGCGAGCTGGATGAAGGTGGTAGGTTATGGCAAGCTGATTGTGTCATTAATAGCCACTTTTACCTATTACATGATACAACGGCATGCCATACTTCCCGAGTACCATCTAGTGGCTGAAAATGGTAGTGTTCAATATTTTCAGTCAGAATGAATGAAAACGGTCATATCTCAGCCAAAAGTTGGTTTATAAATATGGAGTAAAATCCATAAATACATTGTTTTGTCGTATAAGTCGTAGGGCATGTAAATTATGCAAAAACAACCCGTGACTTATAGGGCGAAAAATACAGTACGTAAAATATTTTGTAGGCATATAGACTGAAACCAGAATTTTCTCTTATTCTTCTTTTGTTAGGATATGAGTTGCCTGATTTTGAATTTCTTTGCTGTTTTTCAGGTGACAGACTCCAATGGGGAGTTCTTCTTGAAGTCCTCGGAGCTCTTTGAAAGCCCCGTGTATTTAGAAGAAGTGGCAGATGTCCTCTGCATTTTACAAGCAGGTACCAACTCCTTTCGTTTCAGCTCTTTGTGTTTAAAGTGAGAACGTTTGGATATTAGTGGATTTTAGATGCAAAGTTTTTTTCAGCATAATGAATAGTTGCTAATGTTTACTGGCTGCTGAAAAGGCTGTTTAAAAGTTTTTTAGATGGTCTTAGATTATGAGACCATCATCTCATGTTCATGTTTGTGCTGATGTTCAATGTTTTATGTTATGAGTGCTTAGTGTATATTTAGTTGATGTTTTTCTTAGTTCATATCTTAGATGTTATTACTGTTTTTCTTATACATTTTATTGTTGGATGTAACTGGGACCCCGTGTACATAATTTCGCTCCACCACATGTACCACATGAGGTGCGAATGACAATAAAGAAACTCTGACTCTGACTCTGACTCTGATTAGGTGATTTCCATCAGATGTTTTGAAGTCTCATTGTTTTTCAAGATGAAAACAGGAAATAAATCAACTTTTTTTAATCACAAGTGAAAATTTTGCTAGAAATGAAAGATTTTTGAATGTTATTTATTTAATAGTCTCTTCAAAGATCCCAACATTTACACACGTTTGCTGCGCTTGTCTCTTGTATTGTTGTTTTTTGTGACGTTGACATGTCTGTTTAAAAAGGACACATTTTATATTTAGTAAGGATACCTCTGAAAGTTTTATTTTATTTATTTTTTGTTTAATTGTTATTATTATTATTGTTGTTATTAGTAGGTCTTGCTGTGTCCTGTGTTTTACAAAGTGCTTTTGTTGTTTCGGTTTCTCTCACAGAGCTGCCATCTTTGCTGCCCATTGTGGATGTGGCAGAGGCTTTGCTTCATGTCCGCAATGGTGACTGGTTTCTGTGCCTGCTGGTTGCCAATGTGCCCGACAGCTTTAATGAAGGTACTTTATCTGTCTTAGAAAGCTGCATCGACTGCCAGTAAATAGTGTAAAGACAGCGTGGCTGCTTAATTACCTCTACTAATTTCATATTGTTAGGGCTGGCTGTTTCAGAGCAGGCTTTAACTCCTCACTGCCTCTAAAACTTTACACTCAAAGTTTCTAATATACTTAAAAAGAGAGTTAATCAAGTGCCACTTTATGTTTTTAGCATTTTCATAGCTTTAGCCTTTTTTCGCTTAACTGTAGTCATGCCAAGGGTGTATGCCTTTGTCTTTGATGATAAACGTTCACATCTCTGATGCAGAGAGCTGTTTGAGAAACAAATTAAAGGAGGAGAATGCCGCTTGTCTCCAGTGCCTCCTTATCGCACACAGGGTCAGAGCTAAGTCAATGGAGTATTTATTTGTTTCACAGCTGTTGGCATCAAGGAATCCTTTTAGCTTCATTACTAAAGAAGACCTTGTTTCATTAGGGCGTCAAAGTGAACTGAAGGGTGAAGTGTTGTGAATGAGGCTGTCTAGAAGCATCAAGGTCAGTCGCTCTGAACACCGGCTGATAACCAGGCTAAACTCTACTGGCTGTTTTACACAAGTAGCAGAGATAGAAACTAATACTATTTCAGAAAATACCACAGTCTTAGTTAGCCATAATATTTTACTTTATGAGCAGTCTGCTGTAAGAAAGCTGAAAGAAAATGAGATGATACATCCCTGATGAGATTAGAGTTCTGCTCCCCCTGTGGCAAATGAGTCATGGTTCTGTGGTGTGTACTTCTAATGGAGCACAAGACTGCCATAGCAACAGAGACAGGATACGGTCAGAAATGTATGAAAGGCTTCGGTTTACGTTTATATTCAGCAGAGCATCTGAATGAAATGTCCCAACATGTTAGTGTTCCCAGGGTGGTAAATGTCCCTGTGCTTGGCTGCAGTTTGCAAAGGTCTAATCAAGAATGGAGAACGCCAGGACGAGGAGAGTGTGGGTGGTCGGCGCAGGACCGAAGCCCTCAGGCAGCTGTGTCAGATGAATCCCTCACAGGCCCTCAACATCAGAGCCATGGTGGTGAGTAGCTCTGTTAATATCCTCACAAGACTCCAGACTGAGGCCACTAATCGACAACCTCCATGTTTATTTATTTGAGTAGAAAATGGGTTCTCTTAGTTTGGAAATGTCTCTTTCCATTGGGGATATATTTCCCCCTCTGCCCTTCTGTTTGTTTAAATTTAATTTGTTACTTGTTATGTTGAAACACAAATGAATATTTAGCATGTTTTTAGCATCTTTTGTTGCGAGACTTCCAAAAGTCAATGTTTATGTTGGGGATGGTTGTGTTTGGAGAAACATGGTTGTGTGATCTCAACATAATTATTGACTGTTATCACACATCTTAAATGGCTTTGTAGATTCTCCTAAGAACAAACCATTAAAAGCAACACTGCAGCTTTACGCCTCTGTGTTGCAGATATATGAAACGGTACAAAGTGGCTTGAACAGAGATGGTATCAAAACATAAACTCAGTATATATATTATATGTTAAGACTGAGCAGTGCAGAGTGGGAAATTGTTGAGTATCCATCTCAGTTTTGCTGTCAACTCTTTTTTTTTTTACCAAGATGGACTCCTATCGTAAAGGTTAGTGAAAGAGATTTGTCTCTTTACTGATTTATGTTGTGATACACTTTGTGGTGCTAACCCTGAGGGGAGGAATTTGTCTTCTCGCTTCCCTCCTCCTCTCAAGGAGGTTACAGTGCTGGGTCAGTTATTGAACAAGGCCCCAGGAGGTTGTGCAAATTCATTGCCTTGCAGAATGATGCCTCAGCACGACTCAAACGTGGCTTTACTAAGACAGAAGGGTTGGGAGTTAATGTGAAGCTGTGCTGGAAATATTTTCAGTGGATTGAGTGTTTCATGGTGTGATGAACATAGATGAAGCAAAGTGATAATCATGTCAAATTTACAGTATTGCATTAAATTACAATGGATAGAATCATAAGAGATTATTGTGTGTGTTCAGGTGGAGGAGTGTCATCTGCCAGGTCTCGGTGTGGCCCTTACTTTGGACTATAAACCAGATACAGCCGATGAGGCGGTCAGCCCGCTTGTGTCGTATGTGAGCGGTCTGTTGCTGGGAACTAATAGTAAAGTCCGGACCTGGTTCAGCATGTTCATTCGCAACGGACAACAGGTGAGGGACAACTGTTGACCGTATTTTCTGCCATAAACGTTGCACCACCCTTTAAGTCGCATCAGTCCAAATACGGATAATAAAGTAGAAAAATCCATAAATATGTTGCTTCGCTGTATACGTCACATCTATTATGCGTCACCGCTGACTCGTAGTGTTTGTAACGCGTCAGATTTGTTACGAGTCACGTTTGTTACGAGTCACGTTTGTTACGCGTCACGTTTGTTACGCGTCACGTTTGTTATGCGTCACGTTTGTTATGCGTCACGTTTGTTATGCGTCACGTTTGTTACACGTTTGTTACACGTTTGTTACACGTTTGTTACACGTTTGTTATGCGTCACGTTTGTTATGCGTCACGTTTGTTACGCGTCACGTTTGTTACACGTCACGTTTGTTATAAGTCACGTTTGTTACACGTCACGTTTGTTACATGTTTGCTACGCGTTTGTTACGCGTTTGTTACGCGTTTGTTACACGTTCTTACACGTTTGTTACACGTTCTTACACGGTTCTTACACGTTTGTTACACGTCACGTTTGTTACGCAACACGTTTGTTACGCGTCACGTTTGTTACGCGTCACCTTTGTTACGTGTCACCTTTGTTATGCGTCACCTTTGTTACGCGCTTGTTACGCGCTTGTTACGCGCTTGCTACACGCTTGTTACACACTTGTTACGCGTCACGCTTGTTACGCCCTTGTTACGCGCTTGTTATGCGTCATGTTTGTTACGCGTCACGTTTGTTACACGTTTGTTACACGTTTGTTATGCGTCACGTTTGTTATGCGTCACGTTTGTTACACGTCACGTTTGTTACACGTCACGTTTGTTACACGTCACATTTGTTACATGTTTGCTACGCGTTTGTTACACGTTTGTTACGCGTTTGTTACACGTTTGTTACTCGTTGGTTACACATTTGTTACACATTTGTTACACGGTTCTTACACGGTTCTTACACGTTTGTTACGTGTCACATTTGTTACGTGTCACATTTGTTACGTGTCACGTTTGTTACGTGTCACGTTTGTTACGCGTCACCTTTGTTACTCGTCACTTTTGTTACGCGCTTGTTACACACTTGCTACACGCTTGCTACACGCTTGTTACACGCTTGTTACACGCTTGTTACGCGTTGCGTTTGTTACGCGCTTGTTACGCCCTTGTTACGTGCTTGTTATGCGTCATGTTTGTTACGCATCACGTTTGTTACACGTTTGTGACACGACACGTTTGTTACACGACACGTTTGTTACACGACACGTTTGTTACACAACACATTTGTTACACGACACGTTTGTTACATGTCATATATGTTACATGTTTGTTACGCATTTATTACGCGTCACGTTTGTTACACGTCACGTTTGTTACACGTCACGTTTGTTACATGTTTGCTACGCATTTGTTATGCGTTTGTTATGCGTTTGTTACACGTTTGTTACACGGTTCTTACACGTTTGTTACACGGTTCTTACACGTTTGTTACACATCACGTTTGTTACACGTCACGTTTGTTACGCGTCACCTTTGTTACGTGTCACCTTTGTTACACGTTTGTTACGCATTTGTTACGCGCTTGTTATGCCCTTGTTACGCGCTTGTTATGCGTCATGTTTGATACGTGTCACGTTTGTTACACGTTTGTTACACGTTTGTTACACGTTTGTTACACGTTTGTTACACGACACGTTTGTTACACGACACGTTTGTTACACGACACATTTGTTACACGTCACGTTTGTTACGCGTCACGTTTGGCCCGAGTCACGTTTGTTATGAGTCACGTTTGTTACGCGTCACGTTTGTTACACGTTTGTTACGCGTCATGTTTGTTACACGTTTTGTTATGTGTCACGCTTGTTACACGATTGTTACGCGTCATGTTTGTTACACGTTTGTTACGCGTCACGTTTGTTACGCGTTTGTTATGCGTTTGTTACATATTTGTTACTCGTTTGTTGCATGACACTTTTGTTACATGACACATTTGTTACACGTCAAGTTTGTTACGTTTGTTATGCATTTGTTATGTGTCATGTTTGTTACGCGTCACGTGTGTTACACGTCACGTTTGTTACACGTCACGTTTGTTACACGTCACGT